TTCTGAATTTCGTAGAATCATCGGATAGGCGGCGGAAGCGAAGAGAGAAAGTTTGAGGATACTGAAATGTAAAGAATACTAAGAACGCGGATATTCATATTCAGACAAACCCAACGAGTACAGCGCCGCGCGAGGTCTACTAATTAAATCGTTTCCCATATCAAATGATCTGCTGTTGTGGCGAAGTAGAAGATGACCATTTGTTAACGTGGAGGAGAGAGAGTGAGAGCCCACTGTGTGACATAAAAGTGGCCGAGGTAAGACACCTGGTTCAAATTCATACGCGCAAGCTTTGGCGGTCACAGATGTAGGCAAACCTAGTCCAGTCGCACGGAGCCGCGTACTACGGGCGGGTGATATCCGTGTGAACAGATGACAGACAGATGTGTGGGCCAAAGTTGAATCGAGAGTCGCGGTGGAAGGTCATGATCACTGAGATCGGGGATTTAGGGCTGCAGAACCAGGGCATGCAGGAGGGGACGGTAAAGAAGACAACGATGTTGTTGATGAGTGAGGAATTTTGCAAAAATCAAAGCAAATTGAGATCATAAGCGTCAGCCAGAGATGTTTGGGAAAACAGTAACTTCCCCTAGGCGCTTCTGAGAACGAAAATCGCGCTAGACACGTAGACATTGCAGACGGTCTAATCTCGTCCGAAAAACAACCAACCTCTATCACCTTTGTTGACTAAGTGTAGTGCGAGGCGAAACCGAAATCCGAATGATACCTTGGGTCGAGTTTGCTTAAACTGAGTATTGCCGAGGAGGGGTCGAAAGCGGCAAACTGAAGTGCCAACTTACTGGGAGTGGGTATCTCGGTCTTCGCAGTTGGGGGAACGGCAACTTCCCCACGTTGGTTGGGAGCTGCCAGATATGAAGTTCAACGACAGACAGCAGCGTTGGAGTATTACTTATGCCTAAAAGCTTCACCACCTGCTCCAGGACGCTCACTTCTCATCTAGCAGATCAGGGAGGATGATTGTTTGTGCTCTCATGCTTTAAGCGATGAATTTCCCTGAAATATTTCTGACTAACGGCACCGTTTTGCACCAACTAAGTAGCTTTAGGAGCTGAGAAAGTTAAAATACCAAAAAACCATTCCAGGGAACAGAGCTATAATCACTGTTTGAGGGAGTTGGAAAAAACCGAAAATCCCTTTTTAAGAATGAAAAAAGTCATGCCTAAAAAGTGCTTGTCCTATTTAGCGTCCGCGTTTAGCGTTCAAACTTATGGGAAAGAAGGGATTATC